CTGTTTTTCGGGTCTGAGTTTTCATTCAGTGTTAATAAATTGGCAAATATTATATTCTGAATCTAACTTGTGATTTCGGTTCATGCGCTGAGCTTGTGTTTTTAGTGTTCCATCAACTTAATTTCTTCGGCAATTGCTTGTTTGGTTCGGCTCATGACTTAGACGTCCACTGCTCATTATATATATATTTTTTAACTCTCGTAGTGGTCGATAGTGGAGTGCGACAAAGAGGGTCTGTTTGTTGATAAGGATTGTCTTGGTTAGTTATATGGCTGTTCGGGTTCAAAACTTGTCGAAGAAAAACTTCAATGAACGGTCCGTTCATTCAGGATCCCATGTATCTGTTGGTTTCCAACAATGGTGGAACTCAAATGAAAGGGAAATTGCACTGTTTTTACCCCACAACACGAGTCCGGAAGAGGAAACTCCCTCCAAACTTTATAAACCAATGAATCGTGATCTTTATGTACCAGACCAGGAATCGGCCTCATCTGAAGTGATTGGTCATGCTCAGCCTGAAATGAGTGTCGAAGGAGTGACCGGTTCTCCGTTTTGTTCATCCGAATCTGGTATTGATGCTTCTGGAAGTGTTATTCATCAAGAATTTTCTATTTTCTATTATTTACTTCTCTCAGTTCACTAATTGAACTGAACTATCAGTGAGGAGCCTTAGAAGATGCAGACTTTTGGTAGAACTTGTTTATCTATCGGCAATGTACTAGTTCTTATTGTCGATTTGTGCAAGTTTCGTGAATAGTAGTCTTGTTGTTGGTGTTTAGCATTCTTTGATTCATGCTGTCGATGCATTAATGTGTTTTGCCTTGGTTTCCGAATATGCCGAAAAGGATCCGCTAGATAGTTTATCGAAGAGCGAACCTTGTTGTATGCTTGCCTGATATCATAATTGTTTCGTCATGCATCAGTTCAGGCTCAAAGTTGTGGGAAGGACATCGAGTGTCAAACGAAGCCCGTATTCTTGATTAACAATCAAAACAACATGTTCTGCCCTTCCTATCCAAGCTATAACCATTCAACGGTATCGTAAGCATGTTTAACATTCATTAACTCACTATCAAGTTCATTTTCTTGGCTCTGCTTTAAATTAATAATCCTCATCCTATTTCAGGCTCCTGCTCAATATCCTTATGTGGATGCGTACTTTGGTGGCCTATTTACTCCGTATGGGCAACCGGTTATTGTAAGATCTTCCGAGCTATTGTGCCTTGTTGCATTAGTTGCTAGTGTGATTATTTTCGCTTCTACGATTCTATGGCATCTTAATTGCTTTATAGGATGTTTTTGCGGTATGCTGCTTATCGACAAAACGTTTCGTAACAGTCGGTCAGTTAGCTTAGAAAAGCTCAAAGTCTTTTCTTCAACCACCTTCCCTGCTCCTCTAGTATTGGTCTAAGGTTCCACCCTGTTTAGCATAGAATCCTTCGTGTTACCCTTTTTACTTGCAATGCAACTTGTTTTAAACTTGACCGGATTCAGGCGCAGATGGGAGGAGGAAGTGCACGAGCACGAATTCCGCTTCCATTTGATCTTGCTGAAGATGGCCCCGTTTATGTCAATGCGAAACAATATAATGGGATTCTTAGAAGGAGGCGGCATCGTGCTAAGCTTGAAGCACAAAACAAACTTGTCAAATCTCGAAAGGTATGTTACATAGAATTCGTTTCGGAATTCGATTAACTTATAACGTTTAGTGGCATGGGGGATATGTTTTGGAAACTAATGACCAAAGGATATAAATGCAGCTTTAGCAATGGTGTTATACATGAACTTGTACCAGTAATGGCAACATTTTTTGAGGCCGTCAATTGCTTTGGTTTGAAATTAATGCAGCCATATCTTCATGAATCCCGACATCGTCACGCACTGAATAGGGTTAGGGGATCCGGTGGACGCTTTCTTAGCAAAAAGAAGCTCATACAGCCTCCCGATCCAACTTTCAACCCGAGTTCCCGTTCCATTTCTGATGCCACCTGCTTAGACCGAATTAACGGCGGATCAGAATTCGAGCTATTCACGTGTAGCAGACTGCAGCGGTTCAATTACAAGCTGCTCGGACATCTCGAGCATCTCCAACAACAACGGCAGCTCCCAGCGGCCGAAACACGGATTCACAGGCATCTCTCCCAGCGCAAACGGCGTGTGCAATGGAATCCGACACTATGCTTCGGTCGTCCTGTGAGAAACCTGGGCGACGAAGCTGGCAACTCATCCTTGGCTTTTATATCATCTATTATCACCTACATTTCAACCATCTTTCATGCATGTTGTGCAACTGTAAAGTGTCTTAAAAACATCTGTTCTAAGAGTCTGCCTACTTGGTTCTTATTTGTTATGAATGATGCCTATGCCTATTATGTGTGAATTAAAATAGAATTTTAACATTTATCTATAATATTATCTTAATAAATATTAGGTTGTGTCATTGTTTTGCATAATATTTATTGATCATTGATTTATCTATAATAATATTTAGGTAAAATATGTATTTAGTACTTAAACTATTAGATTTGGTCCATTTTAATACTTAAACTATTGGTTCATTTTAATACCTAAACCATATGTATCTCGATATTAGTTTCATCGGGCAATTCATAAACAATGGGCGAAAACGAATAATGATTGAGTTAGAGTAACGGTGAGAGAAAAGCTATAGGTTTTGGCATATAATTAGAAAGAAAATTGCATGTCAACATGACATCAAATAGTTAAAACAAGAGAGTGATGAAGATGAAAGTGCATTGAAAGATTAATGGCTCGTAAGAAACCAAGTGTTCCTGCCAACTGTTTATATATATAGTTCAGGGTTTCATATTTCCCCTGTGTCGTTCATTCACCATTGTTATTCACCATGCATTTTGAGCATTAGTTGACAAACTTGAGTGAACTTGATTCTTGGTGCAAATCGTTGGAGCAGTAGCTAAAGCCATCGGTGCAGATAGAGAAGCTATCCGAATTTCACCCGGAATCGATCACCTCGACGCCATGGACTCTTAACAGCTCGAACTAGGCTTGGTAGTGATCGAGAGACTTTCGAGTTGAGAATTCTGTCAAGCAATTGAATGAGCCAATCCAATCCAACTTAATCACGGCATTGAAATGCAAATCCAGAATCCAGCAAATACTTACAGCTAAGAAGACCCCACCCTCCCCTTAAGATTACTTAAGATTGGTTTGTGTTTAACGTAACCGATTAGTGGACTCAACTCCATATAATTTTGTATATGATGTAAGAGAAGACCCCACAAAAAAAAAGACCCCACCCCACCCTCCCCTTTATCCTCATCAACTTTCTCCTCATCAGCAGGATCAAGGTATGATACACTCAGAATCACTTACTATAGTTTACTTGAGAATTTAACTCAAATCACTCATCGATGATGATCGATATTGGCAGATACGAGTATCGGTGGGCCGATGGGGTTACTATAAAGAAGCCTATAGAGGTATCTGCTCCTAAATATGTTATCTCATGGACTGGATTGAAGCTCAGTTGGATGATGAAGCTATTTTCCCACAAAATCTGGGTTAGTAACTTAGTATAGTACACTCATGATATGAACTTAAAAATGGAAGCTATTGCCATTGCTGATGAGAAGTGTTATTGAATACAGGGGCACCATTTCCACCGAATTTTCAAGAAGTAGTGAAGACGATATTGAAGAGATTGTTCAGAGTATATGCACACATTTACCACTCACACTTTCAGGAGATTGTGAGCTTGAAAGAGTAAGCTCATTTGAATACTTGCTTTAAGCATTTTGTTCTGTTTACTTGGGTAAGTTTTTCTCTTTTTATGGTAATGACTAATGATTATGAGAGGCCTCTATATCTGAAACATTGTCATTTTATGCAGGAATTTCGGTTGATTGACAAAGGAGAACTTGCACCTCTGTCTGATCTTGTGGACTCTATTTTGCAGTTGTAGACCAATGAGCCTTCTATTTGCTTCTCTGGTGTTCCTTTTTCTTTGTTGTTGCAGAAAAGATTACTTAAAAGCATCTGTTGCCTCCCTTGTCTTCAATTAGTGTTGTTTCACTGATCGGAAATAAAGATGAGGTTGTCATTCGAGTAGGCTGATGTCTATGTTAGGAGGAGACGAGCGACACGGAGCTTGAACGAACAACTTTGTGTCATCGACATTCAGAAGCTTAGAACAAGCAAAAACATAGGAAATCTATTGCAAGTCATTAACATTTTCTTATGCTTATGGGTTGATTATCTAATTATAAATCAGAGTCGATAGATGAAATAATCGGTATGGTTTAAACAACCTCGTGACATATTTAGCTTTTAACCACCAGCACGCCCAATATTAATGATGAAATCACTAGTCCAAGAACCAGACTGAGTCAGCCAAATCACACTCGAGTCAGCAAATTGTTTTTTCACTATATATATATATATAAGGATTTCATGACTCTATGTGATTTTCCAAGAAAGAAAAATTACTGCAATACATATTTCTCCTATATCAGTGGTGTGAATCAATCTCTAAGTAACTAGAGGGAAGTAATGCTCAAGATCAAGAACAAGACAACACCACAGCAGTGGACGCCGTCTTTAGGGATTTCCAAGGCCGCCATGAAGCTTTGGTCAAAGTCTTAAACCACCGCTCTCTCTTCTTTCTTTAGGCTTTTCCTTTTCTTTAAAACCTATTAATAATCTCTTTCGCATTCTAATTCCCATTCTTTCCTTTTTCTTGGAGCAGACTCTGAAGAATTCTATAAGCAATGCGATCCTGGTAAGATCTTCTTCTCTTCCTTGCCGCTTGAATGATTCCTGGACGTCAAGACTGTTTCTTTGAGTTGTGGTATAATTATTTTCCGAGTTTGTGTTTCTTGTCCAGTGAAGGGCGTCGATCTTTGCTTGTTTGGACTTGAAGATGGACGATGGGAAGTTAAACTTGCTCCCCATAAACCTCCAGTGATACCAAACCCTACATGGGGTTTCTACATTCGCAGAGATTTGTTGGATAAATATCCATGCGTAAAGTTGCTGCTGCATGTGATTCATGGTTACTAGCTGCGTCTTTCTTTCTTGCTTCTGAGCGTTCTTTTAATCGAGCTGAAAGGTAATATTTATTTATGCTGCTGGGAATCTTCATGTCATGTCCCAAGACTCCAAAAAGCATTATCTTTTGATGCAGGGATCGTCTGTTCACGATTATGAATGCTCTCCCTACCTGGTATTGTGGATAAGTCATCGAATTCTGATAATCCAATCAGCAAGAGTTCCATATCAACTGATCGTCTGTTCATGATCCTTACTGTTACCAGTTGGATGAGTAGGGTTAGACTTTGAACATGTTTGTTGCCATTTACACAGGGAGGGTCTGAATCTGCTCAATCCTCGAGCGGCACCACCGAGCAAGCAAAGGCATCGGCCGAGGAGGTTTAAAAATGCCCCTCTTGCAGCCACAAGAAACCAATACCCGCATCATGTTAAGGACCGTATACATATCAATATCATATGATTTTCTGAGGGAAATTTAGTAGTATTAATGGGGGTGCTGCCCTGTTGGTTCAACATATTGGTGGCCTGAATTGTGTTCTTTGTTCATAGTTTTGTTAATATCATAAAGAGGATTCTGAAACCTTTTCTGCATCAATTTGTTGAAAAAGTCAGATTGTGGATATGCATCAAGGAAAATGATAACACTCAGGTCCATAACAAAGAAACTTAAACGGTATAAGACCATGAATCATGCGTACAACTAAATGATTAGTCATAAAATGTTCTTGTGTCGGATACATGGATAAATAAATAGACCTTCATTTCGTCCAAATATATCAAAACAGAGCGGACACAGCATCGAGTTCGGATGTTTTAATCCGATATATTTGATTCATTGGCTGAGTATTGTTTTTACTCCTTGTAAAAGATAACTATATAAATCTATTAAACGACTTCAATGGTAAAAGAGTGTTATTATTTCTAAAGATTTCAGGTTTGAATCCGCAGGGTATATGTTCTTGTTATAAATGGGAAGAACTTTTTGATGTCAGCTTTAGGTTTTCCCAGATAACTAGAAAGAAAATTCATGTCGTCGTGACATCAAAGAGTTAAACAATAGAGGAGAGTGATGAAGATGAAAGTACATTAAAAGATCAATGGCTCGTAAGAACCAGACTGCTCTCGAATGAGACCTCCAGCCGTTTATCACTATATATATAGTTCATGACTTCACGACTCTCCGTGGTTTATAAAGAAAGAAAAGTAACACGTACTACATATTTCTCCTAAATCACTGGTGTGAATCAATCTGTACGTAAATGGAGTGAACCAATACTCAAGAACAACGCAACACCAGAAGATTGGACGCCGTCTTTTTGAACTTCCGAGGCCGCCGTCAAGCTTTGATCAAAGCCTTAACCACCGGTCTCTCTCATCTTCCTTCAATCTTTCCCTTTCTTTATAATCCATTAATCCTTTTCTCATTCTAATTCCCATTCTTTCTGTTGTCTTGGCGTAGATTTTAAAGAATTTCATAAGCAATGCGATCCTAGTAAGAGCTTCTTCTCTTTGTTACCTGATGATTCTTGGACGTAATTATGAAGTTAAACTGCCCGTTGCTTTCTTTACAAGGCAATGCTGTATTCTTTTTTCCTTGGTTTTTTTTCCAGATAACGGGGAGGACCTGTTCTTGTATGGACTTGCAGATGGGAAATGGGAAGTTAAGCCACCTGTTGAGCTGGTACCTGCAGATTTTCCGGAACCTTTTACAGGTATTAACTATGTAAGAGATGAGATGCCTGGAAATGAATGGTTGCTTTTTGTTACCGCTGCAAGTGATTCATGGCTGATAGCAGTGGCTTTCTTTCTTGGTGCCCGTAACTGTACTTTCAGTAAAGCTGACAGGTAAAACTTTCCCCCCTCTCCTACCACTTATATTCACGAACATGAATAGAAGTGTTTGGTTCGTTTATATTCAGGAACAATCTTGTTTAAAAGCTATCCTGTTCTCCTTTTTTCTTTTGAAGGAATCGTCTCTTCACATTGATCAATGATCTACCTACATTGTTTGATATTGTCAGTGAAAAGGCAAAGGAAAAGCCATCGGATTGTAACCCTAGCAGCAAGAGATTCAAGCCAAGTGCACAAGCTGTAAGTAGGACATTGTAATGCTTTTAAAAAAAATCATGTGTTGGCTTATTAATGGATGAGCAAAACCAGATGTTTATACAGGGAGGTAGTAAATCCTCAACCAGGAGCAAGAAAGCACAGGGTAAAGAAAGTGTATCATGGTATGAGGTATGTGGTGCATGTGGAGGACGTGAATCACATGTGGACTGGATATGTTGTGACACGTGTAATCACTGGTTTCATGACGTATGCGTTAACATTACCCCTCAAGAGGCTAAGCAAGCGAAGGGCTACGAATGCCCCTATTGCAGCATCATGGGAAAGCAGACCAAGTGATTTGACTGGTTTTTCGACCATTGTTTTGTAGGTGTAAAGAAGAAGATGAAGGATATATTATGTTTTGGACAAACAGAGATGAAAGTAAAAGAGGATCAAACTCGATTTTTCTCGCTTTTAAGTAGGTTCAAAAGAATACTTGCGTACGTAAGAGAAAATGGGAAGAACTTTTTGATGTCATCGTACAAGCTGCAAGTAGTAAATCATCAAGTAGGAGCAAGGGTAAAGAAAGGGTATCATCGGAGAAGGCATGTGGTGCATGTGGAGGACGTGAATCACACGAGGATGGTTATGTTGCGACTTATGTAATAACTAGTTTCAGACGCATGCGTTAACATTACCCCTCACCGGGCTAAGTAGGCCAAGGGCTACGAATGCCCCTACTGCTTGTTGCTAACGCTTAAATGAAATCCCACTGTACTTCTAACATCAAAGAATAAGCATGAAAGAAATCCATGGCATTTACAATTTGGAAACAAGCACACGTGAACTCCCCTGAGCAGTAATGGCAGGGATTACATTCTTGGGGGACTGAATCCTAATATTTCCCCATTTTCAATCATTCAAAAGCCTCACAGGATTACAAAGCTGTATGTAAAGGGTTTCTTTCTTTCATTCAAAAAGAGAAAAAAACGAAATCCTGGATTTGTGTTTCAACAGGAAATTTGTGTCCTAAAACAAAGCAAGTACATCTGCTGCTTTAACAATTGAGAGTTTGCAATTTCGACAATCTGACGATGAATGCAGAATGTATATATCAGCCTCATGTGAAAACCCAAAGAGCACGAAACGAAATTAGAGAGTAAAATCCGAGCGGATTATAATGGTATTACCTCGAAACCAATCTTTTCGTACAGTTCAAGAGCAGGTTCGTTGTCTCTATGAACATGCACGTAAACTGGTTCCACACCTGCGACCAAATGACCAACTTAGAAAGGGAATTTTTCCTGCTGGTTGCATCGGATGAGGTGCATCTAAAGGAAAAGTTTGTAATTTTCTACCCTTTGATCTCGCCGATTCAATAACAAAATACAACATATTGCTAGCAATGCTCTGTCGACGGGCTGATTTCGCCACATAAGTTGGAAACATAAACATCTATTCAGATTTGTCCTGCTGATGCCGCAGAACGTATGCTTTTCACGTTCCTGCAAGAGTTTAAATTCCCAATTCTCTTAACACATAACCTATTTACCTAGAACAATGAAAGAAGATAGCAGTTTGAATAAAAAGAATGTGCACCGTACCCCGGGAAAAGACTCTCCATGCAACAAATGCCTAAAGCTGAAATCAAGGGTTCCGACCACACTTTTCAGCACCGTACGCTTGACATTCCTCTCCTCCTTCCTAACCTGATAATTCGATATAGAAGTAGTGTTTAAGACACTCCATCTAAAGAAAATGACAACATAACACAGGAGCTTTATGCATCAACTGAATTGAAATAGAGATTCATAATCCTCACCCCAACAAACATAACAAACACATAAAAAGCAATAAGAATCTGGGAAAAGATGTCCTGTAAGAACATCAACCGTGACACACGTATATGTCCGTCCATGTTGGCCGCTGTATCGCCTTTTTATGGCATTGAACTCCTACAAGGTAAGGAAACTGTCTCAGCATACATGTGGCCAAGTTTCAAGCAATTAAGAGAAGACAAATATCTCCTACCTGCTCAGCAAACTGCCTTTTGAAGCTATCGACGTATCTATATAATCAAGGAATACCAAAAATCAGGAGTATCGACGTACACACATCAGCAAAAGAAGAAAGCATAGGATGCTGAATTCGTTAAGAGGAGTGGGAATTGAGTCAAATCCATTGTCAACATATTAATAGCAACATCTTAATAGAGTTTCAACAGTAAAACTTTGAAACAATTAACTCGCACCAACTAAATATTTCCACAATTAGGTCAGAATTTTGTTTCTTTGCAGAAAAGGGCAACTCCTCTGCATCACTATCTCTATATCATAAATAGCTATCAAATTAGGACTCAATGGTTAATTTCTGTAGATAAGTACAAAAAAGGGAGTGGGGTATTATTCCCATTTACTTGAAGAAATTTAATCCTTACCTTTCACCTGGTCGATCCTCCCAGTGACTTTCTGCTCTCAGCCATGCCGCTGTCTATTACACAAATCAAAACATAATTTTCATCAGCATCGAAAGGGACAATTTGATCAAATAAAAAGGAAGTAAAAAAAAAAGTTAAAAAAGGGTATACCCAGAATTCTTCATCAAGAACAGCCTCTCTTGCGACGAATCTTCCGAATTCTAATCTGTGATCTTGAAGCAGCTCCTGATCCGACGGTTGCAGCCGATCAAACCTGAGAATAGAGGGCCTCGGGTTTTCAAGTTGAGGAATTGACGACGTTTGCAGCTGTATCGAAGGTTCTTCCTTTTTCACCTTTTCGAATGATTTAGAATCCATTCTCCTAATCAATTATCCAAAAGAAGTCATTAAATATCTAAAAAGTACATTTCCCCCCCAAAAGAACTGAAAATCCAATATATATATATATATAACTCACACGGTGGGAGAAAAGGAGAGTCTTTTAAGTTTGTGGCAGGGGATGGATCCATGAGTAGAGAAAGTCAGGAATTCAGTTCTGTAAGCCGAGACGGTTGACATGGCGGCAGAGCTAAAAGTTTTCCCGGAAAACTAAACTTTCCCGGAAAATATAGATGGTGTTTTCCTTGTTTATTTGAAAATTGGGTAAAAAAATGTGAAAAATATTAGTAAAAGCAATAAAGAAGGAACCGAAGACGACGACGCGAGTTGGGTGCGAAATAGTGGGGCCCATTCAAAGAGTGGATAAGACAAAATAGTGCATGTGGGTTGAGATTTTGACACGTGTATGAATTGTGATGCGGCATTAAGTTAAAGGCTCCAATTGATTGGCGGGTTTTATTATTTTTCTTTTTTATTCCAGTTTTTAATTTAGTTTACTATTTAAATTTTTAATATTTTTAAAATCATACTTAAAATTTGATTTTCATCTCATTTAAAACTCCACTATTAAAAATTTAATATGTTAGTATTTAAACTATCTGTTTTAATATCTAAACTTTTAATTTTTTCAAAATTTATTAAATTTTGTACGTTAATATTAAAATAAAACAAAAACTAAAATTTTTAAATGCATGATACTAAAATAAAAATAAAATTTTAAGTATGATTTTAAAAAATTAAAAGTTTAAATACTAAAATTGACCAAAACTAATAATGTAGATACAAAACACATAAATTACCCTTCATTATTTGATTTGAATCAGACTTTAAAAAGTTTTATCGATGAAAAATTCAACCCGATTTTTAAGATTAAAACTTGTATTTAAATTGATTGGCGGGTCTATTATTTATTATTTGATGAATTATTATTTTATAAAGTTTCATCTTATAAGAAATTAACTCAATTTTTAAGATAGAAACTTGCATTCGATCTAAAATTCAACTCGATTTTTAAGATAAAAACTTGCATTCGATCTGATTCGAAGAAAAATCAACGATATCGTTACACGCTTGATTTTGAAATAGCAAATTCTAAAAACCAGGTAGGTTCTTCACAACAACTCCAATGGCGCCACCACAGCAGTGGCCCGGAGCAAGAAACCAACACAAGTACATGTATTCCTCTCAGCCCTCAAAATCAGTTTTCACCCCACTGGCAACACTTGCTCTTCATCTTCTCATCAAAGTCCTTAGCTTTAACTCGGCGTTCCTCGCTGCATTCGCCATCGATTACTCTTGCACTCTCTGCAACCTCCTGCTCCGTTTCTTAGCGGTCGACTCTCTCTCGGCTTCTAACCCTCCGTATTCCCTCACCCAACAATGATGCACCGCGAAGGACAGCGCCAAAACCAGCAATTGCATCACCGACATCGCGATGAAAACCCCACACTCCACCCTCGCAAACAGCTTCGCTTCTTTAACTTCCAACGTGGTTTTCAGCATCGATATGCTCGATTTCTCTCTGGTTAACAATGACAGTATGCCGAGAACTTGGCCGATCAACGAGGCGACGAGAAGAGAAACGTGGGTTATGAAGCAGAGGCGTGTTAACTGAGAGTAGAAACCTACAAATGAGGAGAGAGGGAGATGGAGGAGACCATGAGGAAGGTCTTAAATGCTCCGAAGAAGGTCTCGAGATAATCGTACCTGATGTGTTGACAACTGATCACGACCTATCAGACAAATGAGTCACAATGGCCTCAACTCTATCTAACGATGCTTGCAACCGCCCCGAGTTCAAGTTGAACAATGGTTCGTCGGTACCCAGAGCTCTGTTAAATTCAAGATACTAATGGTAAGCTACAAATAATCATCACTGGTAAAAGAAGGAACATATGGAATCAGTGAATAATAAATTCCAAAGAAACAAAGAAGAAGCACAACAATAACACATTTTCAATAAAAATTATATCATCAGCAGGTCGATAGCTATTGACTTGCAGTTCCCTTGGGATACAACATCAAGGAAACAACCAGCAAAATATTCAAGAAATTATAGGGCACGATTCCGAAAACTAACATCAAAGACATGAGCTTAGGGCTTCCTCCATTGTCACATAACATTCTTAAATACAATGTCCAAAGAATATCAAGGAACTTACCCTGTAGCTTCCGGTAGAACATAAACGGACCTCCACCCGAATCGAAAATCCAGGCCGGGAACCAAGCCAAGTGTCGTCTTATTCCGAATCCGAGAAACCCCGTCTCCCCAAACAGGTGGTGAGCTTCCATTTCCATCCAGTTGCATTCATTGAAATTATGGCTTACCCCAACCTATTTCGAAAATATAGGCAAGCAATGCACAGGGAATAGACTCCTACGTTCCATCACTACTAGAAAAGTTCATCTTCCAAAAAGATAAATCACAGTAAACCAAATTATCCCAAAAAAAAAAAAATCACAGTGAACCACTGGAGATAAGAAAGTTTATAACAGGAATCTTCTTCGAAAGAAGTCGAACGTCTTGATGTAAAGGTTCATA